ACTATGTCTTAACTATAATATTGTCTTTACCTTTTTACTATAAACTATCACTAAATATATTTTTGCACATTTAAGCATGATTTCATTATCAAATAAATGCAATTTCCCATATCATTACAGACTTTTAAAGTACATCAGCATATCTTTTTACCTGCTTCTCTTTTTTGCGAAGCAAGTACCATTTGTATTGCATAACCACTTGTTGCTAAAACAAGTGTGATAATCTTTGGATGTTGATAAATTCTGTGTAATTTCTGTATATATATCCGGTATGAGCACCAGTTAAGCAGATGTTATATTGTATGAATCAGTGTTAAGACAACTTTCGTTACTGTATCTGTTTTTTCTGGATGTTAATCTAAGACCTCCCCAAGTGTGCCGTTACGTATCAGACAGGCTGTTTTTCAACTGTCAGGTGTTGCCTTGCTCTTGGATTTTTTTTATTCTTCAGCATCACAGGCAGGTTGTAAACTCAGATATTAACACCCTGTTGTTATTTGGCAACACTTTCGCCCCAACTTGTTGTAATGTATGCACTAATGACTGTCTATGAGAGAGTATTGTTATTGTTCCAAAACGCATGAGTTTAAAATTTCGTAGACTAGATTAAATGGGAAATCCATATGTTATATAAAGGGGGCGTTTCCCGACAACAAAAAGCAAAGAACTAAAGAGAAATAAAATTTATCATACTGAGATTTTCATTTTCAAGTCGTCTTCACTGGCTATTGATTAATTTGAGATCGTTCTTTTTCACTGTTCTCATGATTGTGATATTAACACCATTCGAAACATATCAACAGCTCTATCGAATGTATATACATTTGCTGTTGTTGTTTGTTTATTAATTAAATCATTACAGCCAGTTATATCAATAATTTTTTTTTTCAATATGCAATACCAAATTCGCAGAAAATGTACTATAGCACCGAAACCGTTTCAAGGTTTCTCCAAAATTTCCTGATTTAATGTCTTAACAAAAAATCGAGATATAGAACAAAAACCAACATGAAACAGTCTACACTGAAAGCTAATCGCCTCGTGTACTTGAAACTTGTTCTAGACAGAAGAAGGAACTAGTTTACAACGTACCGAGACTAGTTCATGTTTAAATTGTCTTGGCATAAATCACTTTACGGGAGCACACATCCCGGAGCAGGTATAAATATCATGCGGAAGGATGGCGGCGATGATATCTTGACCAAACAGCTTGTTTTGTCGTCATTTACACATCTAACATTTATCCATTTCATGGTGGTCTATTTCAAAAGAAGCAGAAATGAACAATTGCCACAGTTTTCTGTTATTAAGAATATGTGAAGACGTCAACAGTAACATACCTTGTACTGTCCACTTACTGAACCGAGTTTAGAATATTTTTCAGCATTTTCTCACAATTGCATATGAATTATATGATTCATTTTAACACGAAATACAGTATGTATGTAAAATATAATGTATATACAGTCGCAAATTGTGTAACAAGTAGTTGCTTCGCTATAACACGATAATTGCTTCGTGTAAACATGATACATACATTTACTTCAATCAATAACAACAACAAAGTTAATATAAACATGTATTCATTTATTGACATTTAGACACATAGTAAATATATTTTAAAGTAATTAATTAAGTCATTAAAATCAACAGTAACCTTTAACATCGCTTATTTCAACACAGTGGTTTTGTTGTCATTTAAAATGATCACTAGTAAAAGCACTTAAGTTTGATATTGCGTCCAAAGGGCAATTATAAGTTGCAAAAGTACACTGCCAGTATAGAGCCAAGTCATTCAATACAGTGCTTACTCAAAATGTGTGATGAAACTAGCAATAACATTTTAAATTGTCACCCGTGGCGCACTTTTGTACACAAATGTTAACTAAAATGGGAGTAGAACATAAAGGCAAAATCCAAATGTCAGGACAAAAGTTGACCAAAAACACAGTATATATGTACCCATTTAAGGACATTGATGAACACATTTTTGAAATTATTAACATATTAGTATTTTTCTCTTTTTTTTTTAAGTACGAAAACGCTTTTCCTTGAAGAATGAAATAAGTAAATGTTTGAAGGATTAAAAATGTGATGGCATCGTCTTTTTTTCCTGATCATCTGTACTTTTGTACGTTAAATGATATTTATGTTAACGATATATTTTTGACGTACGTCATGACGTCACTGTATAATACTTCAAAGAGAATTATAAACGTGTTACATGATTTATGTCCTTACACATGCATACTTCAAACATAAAAATAATACTTGATGAATACATAAAATAATTACACATAAAAAAGTCTTAAAAATCTTGTCATGTGACCCTTGTTTGAAAGTGATTAAAACGCACTCGATGTACCGTTATTTACCCCGAAGAAAAAACCAACAAAATATTTCGCGCGATTCTGTTACACGCGGTCGTATTCAAGGAAATTACCAAGAGCTTTGTGCCGGGGATGTAATTCATTACAAATGCACATAAATGTGTGATTAATTGGTGTAAATTCCATCAGCTTGTCTGCTGCCATCATTTACATACAACCGGCGTACTATACTTATTATTATTATTCTTATAATTTGTTAATGTACTGTTTGAACTAGTGTAGCGGCCTTGAAGCAAATTTTAGAGATAGCTCTAGCATATAGTACCAAGTATTTGCTATTGTTTCATCTACCACATTTATTTATTAAGTACTCATTAAATTGATTCCCGTAATTCTTTCATATTATGCGGATGTTGAAATCGGTTAATCAAGATGAAAATGTACGTTATGGGTGAATCTGTACCCTATAAAACTAAATCTCTCCATACATTTTATAGAAATTTAATTGTGCTAGGTTTTTTGTTTTTTTTGCTGTACTTATAAATTCTTGAATTCAGATGAAAAAATAACAGGTATCTTTCTTAGTTGTATAAGGGATATACACCCTGCATCGGCTTGCTTTTGAACTTTATTTTATCTTGAAGGTTTATTATATAGTTATAAAAAAATGAGTTTAAATTTTCTATTGTAGAAGGTTATAGAACGGACAAGACGCATTGATAATTTCATTAAAATGTATACATTAATAGTTCAACGTTATGAACGTCTTAACCTTTGAGCTAACTCATAGGTGCAAATAAATGACGAATAAACTTTGGAACCCTTTACAAAAAATATGAACAAACGATTAAAATTTATGACACAGTTTCCGCTGATTTTGAAAAGAACCATGTTTTTGGCAAACTTATCTGGCAGAGTTTGTGTTATTGGGGGAGGAAGGAATGATTCTGTCTTAAATAATCTGCCATAAAATCACCAGCAGCATGAGTTTCGCGAACTTATCGAATTTATCATGTTTTCAAACACCTTATCGCGGAAATTTGATAGATTTTTTCGGGTCTATATTGTTCAAATGGTTCGGACGCGCTCGTTTTTTTGTTGTTGTTTTTTTTTTTCGAGAGAAACTATAATCTACATTCTGTATCAGTATTCTAGTTTAATTTTGTTTTATCTGTTTTTACTTTTTTCTGTCTAGGCAGATCAGCATGTTCTAAGATATCTTCTTGAACGTTTAATGATGCATTATAGCGTATAAACGTAGCTTATTCAATAACTCGGTCAGATACTGTTTCAGTTAATATATTCATACATCGTTTTCTTTTGACTATTTGTTAATTTTTTTCCTATTGTTTACTCTTTCTGCATTACTTCTGTTTAAGTATATGATAAAACATTAAAATTTATGCATTCATAATATGGTGGCATATTTCTGCCACCAGATAACCTGATATCTAACTAGTTAATTAAGAGGTTAACTAGTTACGTAACTAGTTAACCTGATAACTAACTAGTAAGGTATCAGGTTAACTAGTGGCAGAAATATGCCACCATACATTCATTTACAAAAAAAATATAAATGAACATATGATATGTGTAAGGTAAAAATGTTCAGAAAATCTTTGAATGGTACGATAACATTTTATAGAATAATGCTGCAAGCCCAGATGTTAAATTTATGAATCGTACTATAAATTGTATCTAAAATAAAAAAGTTTTATAGCTTTGTATTGAAACAATTGACCGCTATGTTGATTATGAAGATTAATAGTGGGTTGTTATATCATTATAATTTTATAGTAAACAAATATTGCCGCAACGTTAACCGCTATATCCGGACAAAAAGAATAATGCGGCGAAACTCACAACAGGATGTTGATGTAACAAATCTAAATTTCATTGACTGGCACAGAAGTTTCTAAATAAGGAAATACGTTTCATTAGAAAGTCTTTATACCGGAAATAATAAGATACTATTCCCTCCTACCACTTGACCTGTAACGGAAACAGACCATTTGTACCACAGTTTCGTATCTATAATTATCCCGGCATAGTCTATGACACATCGCCTGCCATGTCGGCCCCCGCAACCTGTTGCCTCTTTCAGGAAAGCATGGAGCGGATCTTGTGTCAAAAAATGTTCTCAATGATTTTTTTCTGGTGGTGGTGGTGGGGGGGGGGGTCTATTATTTTATATGATGAAATTATACTTATAGTCATCAACATGGCAATTATCTCAAGACAAACTGGCATTTGACAATAAAAATGTGTCCACGTGATGTGCTTTGAGAAGTGTGTTCATGACGAAAGCGCTAAGAGGTTTTGTCGTATTTTCATTTTAGCCGCGTCACGGCGTCACGACAAAACCAACATAATAGGTTTGCGACCAGCGTGGATCCAGACCAGCCTGCGCATCCGCGCAGTCTGATCAGGATCAATGCTGTTCGCTATCAGTGTCTCTCCTTGTTATAGGGTTTGTAAGCGAACAACATGGATCCTGATCAGACGGCGCGGATGCGCAGGCTGGTCTGGATCCATGCTGGTCGCAAACCCATTATGTTGGTTTTGTCATGGCGCGGCTCATTTGTATGATAAGTAGGTAATGGCATAAGCATAAAGGAAGTGAACCTCAGTGTTGTTGGCATGACGAAGATTTTTATCTCTCTATTTCAGCAACAGTTAGAAAAATATGGCTACCTACATTGTCAAATACGAGAAAGACAAAGAAGATCATTGTTTCCGGACTTCTTCTCAGAAGGTGGTGCGGGCACAAGGAACGGAGCAAATCCCTCCGAGGGAGGAAATCTCCCTCCATGTACATCTAGAAAAATTAGAAAAGCTATAAGACTTTACCAGAAAAAATATGATTTACCCGAAACGGGTGTTTTAGACCGAAGAACAAAGAAACTTATGTCCACATCTAGATGCGGTAATTCTGATGAAGATGAACCCGTAGTGAGTGTTGTGTCCGACGATGTAGAAAGAACTAACAATGGTGATAAACTTGGTCAATTCCTTAGACAGAGTAGTGAAACAAATAGTCTTAAAAATGCATTAGGCGATACTTTTAAAAGTCGGCCTTGGAAAAGGTCAGCTACAAATACAAAACTTTTAAACGTCATATCGGGAGGTTCTCGGAGATCTTCTTCTAGTCTTGAACGTCGTAAAAGATATTTACATGATTATATAGATAAATTAAAAAATGACAATTCTTTGGTTAAAAATCAAAATGAAAATAAACTAGTAAACATTAAAAAAAGATCTGTTAATATAATGGAAAATATAGTTAATAATACAATGGCTAATAAAGCAAGTCCTTTAGACGGTCAAAAATTTGAAAAACAAGTGATAAAGTGGCGACTGCTACAGACTGGTTATAGTACACGGATACCTGTGGAGGACCAACGTGCAACCATCGATCTTGCTTTTAGAATGTGGAGTGAAGTTATTCCTTTAGAATTTGTTGAAGAAACATCTGGAGATATCGCAAGTGTGGACATCGAAGTCGCATTTGGAACCGGTGAGTAGGACGTTCATTTATAGATAGATAAAAAAGAGTATAGTATGTATACACCAAATCAGTTTTATTTGATTGTTTTATTTTTTTATTTAATTTTTTAGTATCATTGTTTGTTTTGTTTGTTTATTTGTTCGTTTGTTTGTTTCTTTACTTTTATATTTTCATTTAAGTAGGCTGTCAGTTCAAGCCTTTGTAGATACGTCCATTAACTGTTAATTTGCTTGCTACCCTTGTTGATACCATATTAGTAAATATATACATGTACTGTTATGCATTGTTTACAAGTTGATAAAACTGTCGAAGTAAATATTATGATAAAAGTACTGGTAACTACGACTTTTATACGCAACTTTATAATGGTCAAGTACTTGAAGCACCAATATTAGTTATTACTGCCTCTTTGAAGTCTTTAAAAGCGGTGTTCTTCAAAGAAACTCCCACAAACGTGCCGTTCTTACACGAAAAATTGTACTCTTATTTCCACTCAAGTTATGTTTTATCACCCAAATAATTCGATCCCATACTTAAACACCGCCAGCCATGATGACTGATCTATTCTGGTATGTCTAACTCAAAGAGCTATTGCTCGCAATTATGAATTGAATATTTTTCTTAATTACTTTTCGATTGCTTTTTTCTATTTATAGCTATTGTTACGCATGATATAAATGCAATATTCCTTGTAATAAATTCTTCTAGTTATGTCTGATACTTCAAAGTAGTTTGGGTTCTAAACGTGTACAGTACGAGGACCACAGGCGTAATAGTGCAATGATTTTATACTTAATATAAATGGAGCGTTGAATTCCGCATTTAATATAGTATATACGTGATACAACATCATCTTTTAATAACAAAGTCCCTACGCTATCCTAATGGGCAATATAAATTCAATTAAGACTATATTTTAAGCAGCCAATTAATTGCTTTTGATAACCCTCTTTCTATTTTTATCGTCAATTATTTTCATTGAAAGAAAAATATACCGGTCTTTGACCGGGGTTACCGTTTTGATTCATACAAAATTACCAAGGTATGGTACATTTACATCATCTAATGATATTTTAAAATGTATATATTAAATTATGAATGGGTTAAAATATGAGTATAAATATACACTATAAAGGAAGAAGTTATTTACTGATTTTGTTCTGACAATATTAGTTTGAGTTTGATACTGTTATCTCCACATATAGTGACGGCAAACTGAACACCTGTAGACAACATTACTAGAACCATGTGTTTGAATCATCAATCTGCACTTCAAATAAAGCTGGGCCTGTGATTTTTAAACATATTAATGCACATCCATGCATTGATATTTTGTTACACCACACTTTTACTAGTCTAACCACCGAATGGTATGATATATATATATATATAAATAAACTCTGGAAGGTCAATTATATTATATGTCTTGATCTTATGTTTGATAATAGGTTTCTGTGAATCATTTGAGCCGCGTCACGACAAAACAAACGTAATGCGTTTGCGACCAGCATGGATCCAGACTAGCCTGCGCATCCGCGCAGTCTGATCAGGATCAATGCTGTTCGCTTACAGACCTTATAACAAGTAAAGAAACTGATAGCGAATAGCATGGATCCTGATCAGACTGCGCGGATGCGCAGGCTGGTCTGGATCCATGCTGGTCGCAAACGCATTACGTTGGTTTTGTCGTGACGCGGCTCATTTAATACACACAGAGAAATATACTAAGATAATACTGTTACATGTCAGATCTGATCATCCTAGTGAATCAGTTGATGTCAGCTCCCCAAGATAATGTCACTGTAGATATAGGCATTGCTCTCTCTTATTTTTCGTTTCTGTTGTGGAAATTTCCTCTTTGATTGCCTCTGAACAGGTAGCTCCAACAATTGCCTCGACTTCCACAGTATGTTGCTTACTGTCTAATGAATCACCGAGCAGATTTTTCCAGTTAAAATGTTCCTGATTCTATCCCAAGGGCGTGGCAGTAACGTACAAGTCATTCCCCCTACACCCAATATTTTATATATCGTCATTTTGTAGTTGAAATCACCATCATTTCGGGAAAATAAGAAAAAAAGTACCTGAAAGCAATGAGCCATATAATCGCTGTACATTAATGTAAACGCATTAACAAAAGTGAACACAATTAGATTAAGCTACGACTTATAGTTACGAATTGTTTGAAATAAGATTAGACTTTATAATGATTATCCTTACTTTAGCATCGAGGATGCGATTTCTTTAGCCTAGTAAATGTTTATCATGATTAAAAGGTGCTGTAGACTTTATTCAAAGATATAAACGACAGGTTTTGAAGTACTACCATAAATTTATCAACAAGATATAAATACGAATCAAAATATACAGAGTGTATACATATATATATTGAAACACTGTTTGCGGACGAGTTGCGAGCAGACAACCTATTTATTTGATTATCAGACGCACTCATGTTATGTCGTTCAATGGATCACTGGTCTATAGAACACTCCATCTACATATTAACAGATATGAAAATACCCTTTGACATTTGAAGAGTCTTCTTTTTACAATTATCTGAATGTAAACGTAATATAATAGCATTTAAAGCGCATCTACCATATATTGTGTACGTGCACAAAAAGAAAATTTGGAAATACTGTGTGATTTAAACAGTAGACTACCGCTACAATAAGCAAAGATATGAACGTGATTTTGCTGTTTATTTCTATAGGTTTTCATGTATCAAAGAACATGCGATTTACTAGCACCCGTTTCATGTCGGTAGTAAATTTAAGTTTTTATTTAGCCCAGATAAATCATATGTAATGTACCATAAATCATTCACAGCGGGTTTTCAAGTGTCTCCTTTTTGTGATTAGATATCGATTGTTTTACGGGAAAGTAAAGTTTAAACTTAGATGTTCAAAACGGTCTCTTTAACGTGACGCACTATTAAAATGTTAAAAGGCCTAGAGAGATAGCAGATGCTTGGAGATATTGCATCACCGTTACATATTTATACATGATATGTTTACAACAAACAAGATTGCAGAATATGTATGACACTAATATATACATATGATAGATAACAATCTGCGAGTTTTGACACATTAACATAGCAACAACAAAATGTGATAGGCGCAAGAATACTTTGTTGTCGTTTGCTTCGGTAAACATTAAGAATATAATTCTCTATGAAATCTTTCAAACTCTATACAACACACATATTAAAGGATATAATTTATAAGATTTTGTGAAATTTTGTTTAAGACAACTCTGGTAATATCAGTAATTATGATATTGATCAAATGATTGAGTCTTTCTCCGCGCTTAATCAAAAGATTGCTGATCCATATTTCAAGTATTATTCGAATTTGCAAGTTTTAAGCAAAGGTTATTAAGAATGATATGATTATGAGCGGCAAGAGTTCCCACAGGCTCCCTATTTTATCATAATGAAACGCAAACAAAACACGGAATCAGTACATAGTTCCAAATTTAAGAATAAATCATTGATGAGGGAAAAGAGAAAGGGATTTATGTCACCCAAGTCACAGGAATAAAGTGATTTTCGTTTTGGAAGCATTCTTAAAAATATAGGAAAGTTAAAACAAGTTATATGTCGCCAGCAGAATTTCATGAGTACTTTTTAAACATAAAATGCATGCGACGCAGAATAATAGAAGAAATCGGCAACTTTGTAAATGTGTATTTTATCATAGTAATCCTATATCTTAGTCTTTGAATTTCCCAATTACAACTGAATCGTGTTTAGGCCTCAAATCTTGCTAATAATTTAAATTTAATTGTTAAATTTACTAAGCTACTTATTGGTGCAAACGCTCATTTTGCAACTTGATGTAAACTGAAACATTTTGTTCATCAACCTTTCTTCATGTACCATTACATTGTTTACTAATATGCTATACAAACGTATGTTGCAACGACTATATATTAAATGTATACGGTATAAAAATATCTATATACTATTTAAAAGGATACATGGTTTAGATTTTTTTCATTTGGTGGTATAAATGTATTTATCAAATGTTGATACATCACCGGTTTGAACAGGAATGAATGGTTTTTAAACCAGCGAAGTGAATATTTGCACCATTCCTTTTCCACCATTGTTAAAATTTGTTTGCAAGTGCATTTTGGCTTTAAATCTGTGGATGTTTCAAAGTTTCACCATTTTCTTGCTAAAATGTTGAATTCTGCTAAAGTCGGTGCTAGGGGGCGTGGCATAATCATTTTCAATTCTTTCTTCTTTGTTTTTTTGGTGTTTTCAGGGGTTCTGTTTTTCTCTTTTGTATAATTTTATGCATGTATAAAGTATTACTATGCATTTATTGTATGTTTATCTTAATAACCACTTTTTGCAAACCAGTTATTGCATTAAAGCTGAATCATTTATTGTACACGTAAACTGATGACATTCATAGTAAAATAAAAATCGAAATGTCAGGCATAACGTTATTTCAATGAGAAAAAAAATGAAAAAGAATCATTGGCTAATTCAAATATATACGATGAAAATAACTCGCTTTAAATCCTCTGAAAAAAATGGGTTACTATCAAAGTCTAGACTTACGTCGTAATAAGTTAAACGTCCAACACTAATTTTAACCAATGGATTGAAAGGATGTCAGAAAAAACAAAGTCACATGTCACAAGTTTGGAAAGGAAGGCCAAAACATGATTATCAGTAAATGTGACTATGGAAGTGACTGAAATATACAGACGCTCAGGCAGATGTAATCTATAAATAGACCTTTATAGATGTCGCTCGTAAGTGACAGATAAATCAATAATCATTGTAATGACAAGGAGTGGGTGTTTGTCTCAGCATCTTCTAATTATAGAATTAATAAATGATATCATAAACGTGATGATGTTACTTAAAACAGACAGCAGTACTGGTAATAAATATTCATGACATCCGCTCACTTTCATACATGTACTTTATTGCGATAATCACTAACGTTGTATCATCAAATTTCTGTCGAATGATGCTTCTTTTACATTTTATAGCTCATCGTATGCAAATGTAATGTTTTCTGTGACCTGCCGAGATGTTAGTTTAGAAATACAATTTTTTGTCTATGATCGAAATTCAACTGCTTTTTTAGGCCATCTCACATTCTTTTGTATTGCGTCAATTATGAATGAACGATTTCATATTGAAAAGTAGAATCCATTGTCACCTTAATGTTTGGTTTTTCATTGGGAATGTGATGATGACTTTAAAAACGACGTCAGCTGCAAATGTATACTATATATGTATACAATCGTATCGTATGAGATGACGAATCGGTTAGAGAAGTTTTACCAAAATTTAATGTACAATTGAACTAAATCTTGGAGAAGCCATTAATAATCCAATTACAAATCATTTGATTAACACCGACACTTTTCGGACATAACGTCAAGTCATCTGTACATAGAAGATGCTTATTGCACTAAGGATATTCCTATCAATCAACTATTATTCCGTTATAAATGAAGCATAGAAAAGAGGCAGGGTTCCAAGCAATAGAATATGCTTTGCCAAAACGTAATGAAAGTGGTAGATGGACCTAATTATTAGTTATGTTTACCGACAAGTGCCTACGTGAATTTCTGTAATAGACGGAAAAACAAGTTCAATTGTTAAAAGAAAAACATAAATCAAAAATTGACACAGTTTAACGTTATCATAATTTACACCTGGGTTCCTTTGATTTTCTGTTTTTGAGAAATTAAGTAACTCAAAGGGATGGAAAAACTACTTGGAAGTCTGAAATATCAGTCCATTATCTATTTTTTATTTTACGGACAATTTCATGATCTGATTAATCATCGTTTTCCTTTTATCTTACCACCTGTTGCCGACTTGTTTTTGATTACTTTCCGAAGAAAGAAGGCTGGTCAAAAGTCTATGTAGTAAATAGGCATTGATAAGCTTGCTTGATAGAGTTTTTTTTTCTCTCCAAAAACTAAGTTCTAGATAAGCTTATCGACATTTACCTTTTTTATTATTCAATGTCATTTATTTCAAAAGACCCATTTTTGTAAATGTCAACGTGATAGAAATGCATGTATATTTCATATAAAACAATTATAGGCTCGTATATTATTTATTGAATATTATTAAGATTTTGACAAAATATGGTCTATCCGCATTGCAAATTTTATTTCGTAAGAATTAAACTCAAAATTTATGTAAAATTAAATGCAGATTTCACATAAAACAAACTGTATTTTGAATTTATATAGTCTTGTTTACTAAATATTAAAGTGTATAAAAGTTTAACGCAAACTGGTTACATCTATAAGTTTGCTTAATTAACAAGGAAATGGTTGGTTTCAAAATAATAAGTTTACTGACGAATGCTTTCATGTACAGGCTTTTTTAATTTACAAGGAAATTGTTGGTTTTAAGATTGTATGGCTACATCATTGTTAATGTAAAGTCAACATGGTTTTCGACCGAATCTAAAAAACAAAACGATATTAAAATTACGTTTTGATGTATCGCACGATATGTTTTACTTCGTACAGAATTTAAGACATACATTTTTTAACAGTTGATATTATTTTGACTTTTGTATATAAGGGACAACAGCATTTTTGTTTGTTTAAGTTTTTGTCTTATTAAAAGAAAGGAGAAATGTATCATTTTATTTCAACAGCAATTTTGTTTCTTTAAGGTGCACATCAGAATTGTAAGAGGGACTTCGACGGTCACGGCGGGGAGATTGCTCATTCCTTCTCCACCGGCAACATGCATTTTGATGACGATGAATTCTTTAAAACCATGCAATCGTTCTCTTCTGATGGAATATACCTTTTGAGAGTAGCTGTGCACGAGATAGGACACGTGCTCGGGTTAATGCATACAAACAAGAAGTATTCCATTATGTACGCCATTTACGAGAAGGAAAACTCCGGTCCTGAGTTTGAACTGGGCTGGGAGGATAGGAAGGCGGTTCAAAGAGTTTATGGTAACTGTCCTTTCTTTCGTGACCATGTTTAGTTACACGGTCATAATATGATGCTAGTTTACAGGATTGTTGTGGACAAATAAATGCTAAGCAATCCATAATCTTATTTGTTACTTTTTCTTGACCTGAAGTAATTATTTCATTCTATAGTTACACTATTTTGTATTTAATATGTTCTATTTGATATGTTCTATTTAATATATCATATTAAGTCACTGGTAAATTTGATAAGGTCTTAGCAAGATTTACTTTTGCAAGACATTTAAGTTTATTGCAAATATAACAGATGTTATTTATTAATCATTTATATTTTCAGGTGTTTGTAAGGGGCGGTTCAATACTGTCTTTGACTGGATCCGTAAAAATGACAAGGGCACTTCGTTCATCTTTAACACGTACTTCTTTCGTGGCAACCACTACTGGATGTATGAGAACCATGCCAACAGGACACGTTATGGGGACCCCCTCTACATAACGACAGAATGGGCTGGCATACCCGACGACCCTGATGGATACGCCCAAGTTTTTTACATCTCCGGAACTGAAGTTATTGATGATGCCTTTTTCTTTAAAGGTAATTTTTACTGTCATATACAATTAACAAACATATAATGGTCAATATAGTAAACGTAACACGATATTCAAAAAATATTCCCTATTGTATGGCTTTTAAGAAAGTTTAAGAAGCAATTATTAAATTAATGTAAGAAAATGAGCGTTATTTCATTAGTTTAATATTGAGAATGTAACAATAATTTCCCTTACAGTAAAGTAACAGTAAAGTAGCATTTAAAATCAACGAAAATCTTGTAGTATGCACCATTATTTCACAATTTATAGTACAGTATATTGCATAATAGTTTGCCTTTTACTCAGACATAGTTGATGAATATATTGTTCCTTGTGACCTAATTTAGTAATTGTTTTGTTCAAGATAAATGTATATAATGTGTTTGACAAATGTAAGTAATTACAACTACATTACAAGTTCATTACTGGTTCGTTTACATTTATTACATAAAAAACAATTACGGTTTTTTTTGTGTAAATACATTATGAGGTAGTTGTTATCACCACCGATATTATATTGTTATGACATCATTTAAACCCTTAATGTTAACATCAGTTGAATTATTATTAAAACAGAAATTAACTTCATTTTAATAAGTTTCAGAACGAAAATTTCCAGTTAATTTGCACATGTTAAATGAATTTTGCAAGTACTACATAAAAGCCAATTATGTTTCTCTTAGCAAGGGAGGTAAATCAGGTTCATTATATTTGAGGATAAACTTGTTACTCTCCCTTTGTGATTAAAGTGCACACGTATAACAAATATTACCATTGTGCAAAATATGATAAATTAAATTTGAAAAAAAAAGAATCTGATTCACTTAAAGTTTTGAATTTAAATCATTTTCAAAGTGTTTTTTTTTTAAATAAGTTGGTTATTAATGGTTGTTATAGGGCGTAGCGTTACGTTGATAATTAGATATATTCATGATTTTTGAACAGTTTGCATGCAGCAATGAGTCGGTATTGAACATAGGATGGGTGTGAAATAATTTATTTCCAATATATCATTCCATAATAACCTGACCCCATTTAACATCATTTATTTCTATTATTTCATAAATAATACGCCCACTGTATTCCCAGTCGTTTTAGATACAATGACGAATATATCCGTCATGTAAAAAATACATCTGCTAAGTAAATAACATTAGCAGATGACAGTAACGCTATTAAAACATTAAATATAAGTAACAAGCTACAAAGATATAATTCATTTGCATGCTGCGTGGGAGGACTCACTTTACTGTCATATTCTGAAGCCAAAACGTGTTTAAAGGCCCATTAAGACCGCAAAGAGCTAAATTTATTATTTTTTATAGTTTATTTTTAGTATTTTTTTGTATGTCTGTCTAGTACTTTACATTATATTTTACATTTGCAGTTGACTAATAATAACAAACAGAGTTAGTCATGTCTGAAAATGCGTGGAGTTACAGTTTTATAAGATAAAAGACCCTTTTAACTTACAAATTTAAAGTTAAAAAAAAAACTCGCTTCAACGAGGTCCCAATACATAAAAATTTAAAATAGAAAAGCTATGGTTGAAACAAAAATAAAAAAGGATAAAGAAGAAATATGTTTTGAATTAAATTGGACTCTGACTTTTTCTCGCATGGCCCCAAGCCCGGTTGGAGGCAAAAGCGTTTAAAGTCAAAGGCTTTCATATTTGGGGTCATTTCGTTTAAATTGAATGATTATTCTCGAAAAAATTGTTCGAGTGAAGGTATAAGTCCAGAACTACATCAAGTGTTTAATAAGTGTCGAAAAGATATTTTCAGTCCCGTATAAGAAATACAACAAGCAAACAAACATTCAAACAAACACCAAATTAAAAATAAAACACACACATAATAAGTTGAACTCCTTTAAAGCCTACAAATTTAAATAATTATTAAAATTTTGCAAGTCAAAAAAATCCCAATGTTCAAACAAGCACAGTTATCGCAAGGGAGTTAAATATATAGACTCCCAAGTAAGTTACAGTGATTGGAACTTGTAATCACAAGACAAGGTTCACATTGTATTGCATAGGTTGGCAAGACGTGGTACAAGTGATTATGTTAATCCACTGTTGAGATTTAAATCTGAGACAAAAACGGTGAAATATGCTTGGCAGAGATGATGCCGTGTATGTACAAATTGTAATGCATTTAACAATCATCGGCATGTAAAGAAAAGATTTATGCACATTTTTCCCACTTGGAAACATACACTTACGACAAATTCCAAGGAAAACGAGCATTGTGTTTTATAATTTTGTTTGTTTGTTTGCAGATGATGATGTTTACAAGTATGATAACGAGAACGATAAGCTATATGAAGGCTGGCCGAAAAAGATACGTGACGTGTTTAAAGGCAAGAATGGCGATGCTGCCGTCCCAGATAATATCGACTCCGTTTTCTTCGATTTGAGAGATAAAAATCTATACTTCTTTAAAAATGATATGGTAAATACGCTTATGAATGACTTAAACAATTTTCGTACTATTTGTATTCAGTTCATGAGTGTTTCCTCAAGATAAGTAACAACGGCAATAGAGCGTAGCCTTTTGGTATAAACCGTTTTATAGTATTCAAAAGATTACATTTTAATAATATAATACTTATTTTGCAAAGGAAACCGAAACGACTACATGTACTTTGAAAAAAGATAAGTGTAGATGTCAGTAGTTACGTCGTGCCATTATTAAATAAAAATTAAAATATTTTTTTTACAGGTTTACGTATTTGACCCAAAAGTACCGGAAGAGTCTAGCGGCTGCTGTTTACGGACAAATAAAATACAAGACGAATTTCCCGCCTCCGAGGGAAGCCTCCCTTTACCAGATAACATTGATGCGGTTTATTATTCGCACGTCGATGAGTCACAATTTTTCATTAAAGATGAAGACGTATGGGAAAATATTGTTTTCCACCCGCGACAAAAACATACCACTAACAGTGTGAAATATATTGGTAAATGGTTTGAAAAATGGTTTGATATTTGCGATGTCACGACACATTCAACGCATTTATTTGAATTTCAAAAGGGTACTTGACATGAATAAAAAAGAAAATAAGTAATAACCATTAACGTGATAATTAAAGTCAAGATGATTAAAATGAGAAACCCGTGTATCGCCTTTTTGAAGACCACGTGACAAAAACGTTTAAATCGGTATATTCTGTAAATATCAGTGTACAAAGCGAAGCTGTAGTTTAAAAATAAAAAAAACAGATATTCATATTTTGATTTTAAAGATATTGAAAAGCATATCCATTGTTGTTGTGCGGTTGTTATGTATATCTAGCGGTTAATGTCGTTTCTCAAACTGCTTTCCCATATTGTGGGCATGCGCGTGCGGGTCATGTGATAAATGTCCTTGGCGGGAAAACGACTCTGAACGTCAGAAGTGTCGAGCATAGGTAAGATGGACACCTTTGTTCCAAATGGAAGGAGCTGTGTTCTGTCAAAACATTATGATTCCACAAGTGACAGAAACATATACTTATTCATTGCGATGAGATGATGTGAAAGGATATATAGTAAAACACGAAAAGTGATTCGAAGTGGTGTAAATCTTGAACTTATCATATATCAGATACAACTAACCAAAGAATAAGTTACAGTATTTAGTTAAACGAGGGAAAGCGTTGATCAATATTTTGTGTGTGAAGTTCTTCTGTAAAGAACTAAAAGAAACAAAAAAATTGACTTGCACAAATAGCGGAAGCGAACTTTTTAAATGACGAACGAAATGTAATAGACTTTTAGTAGATTTGTTGATCGGACTTTGATGAAAGTCAGTGTGAAGTAACTGGGAAGGAGAGTTGATAAGTAAATGCCAGTATCTATATCATATTATTCAATGTAAATAGTTCTTTTACTCGTATCCTCTGCTAATGCCAAGATACTTCATCATTTGTAAATGCCACAGTGCTTCTTATATGATTAATTGTGACATAATATATTCATTATTTTATTTGTTCATTGTTTTTGATAGTTCATTTTTTTGAAGTAATAATTTACAACATACATGTTAAATTTGTATGGCTTTTTTGATATGATAGCCAATGGGGAGGCAGGTTTGAGTTATTAATGGATTGCCATTGATTTATAAGTGAGAAAATTCAATGCACTAACGATTAAAGTGTAAAAATTAAAAAGAGAATATAGGCACATATAATGGTAGCATTTTTTGAGACATGCGTGCACACTTATGATGTAATAATAATGTATTATCTATGACGTCATCGTTTTTGTGCGTTGCAAAGTGATTTAAACATTCCTAGAAAATAAAGTTAAGACGAGATTTTAAAAGTCAATAGAAAAAATGACCACGATTTATCAGATGTCTTTATAGTAGACATTTTTGTTACTGAGAAAAATTGAAACAAAGATATTCATTTTGTTTTAGAGAACGACAGTTATAGAAGAATAGAAGTTTTGTCGTTATACACATTCCTAGTTTTTGAACATAAATAGATCTATAATGATTAGGATAAAAAAACTCACCTTTCAATTTTATCAAAATTTTAACTAGTCAGATATATGTCGTTGTTCAAACGCAGTCCTGAAAACCGGAAGTCGGAAAACCGAAAGTCAGAAAACCGGAAGTCTTAAAACACTATAAATTTCATGCATGATAAAACTTAATTTGATATTTCCATGTTGTATGCATATTATCAAACTTAAGTATATTTTTTTCAGAATAATTTTTAAGAAATTAAAGTGTATGGTTAGCATGATGTTTATAGACTTGTGGGGTATGTGTAATATTTTATCTATTCTGCTAAATATTGTAACCAAAATGATAAATTCTGCATTAACACGAGAGCTCTATTTACTGTAATTATTACTTATTATGTCCTGTAGGTTGAGCAGAGGTAGCCTTTAAAAGGAAGGTGCGTCAGCTATTAACCTGAAATGTAAGATTTTTAATCATATATACACAAGACCGATTTTTGTCAATACAAATAAGTTAAAATAAGTTTGTTTATCTAATTCTATTTTTAGAATAGAAATACTTATTTTCGATAAATACCGACTAACTTTTATCAAATATGAATCAATGAAAATAAAACGTAATCAAGTCTTATAAAAAGTTTCAAACATTACAAAACACAACGGAAGGAAGGAAACTTAAATCATTGGCAGCTACTACTAAAAATGGCAATTTATTTTTAACTGTTACGATCTAAAAACGAACAACAACCACCACCACCACAACAACAACGTTCATAAAAAGTCCGTAGCTTCCCGCATGTCATGAAACTTCGTTTTACATGCTTACTTAAGCATTTCCATAACTTCTTGCATATGCTTAGATTTTGAAGAATAACCCATTATAAACATTTTCGGGTTAGACTGATAAAATCAATGCCCTAAGCATATTTATTGTATGTATATATGAGCCGCGTCATGACAAAACCAACATAGTTCGTTTACGACCAGCATGGATCCAGACCAGCCTGCGCATCCGCGCAGTCTGATCAGGATACATGCTGTTCGCTTGCAAACCCTGTAACAAGTAGAGAATCTGGTAGCGAACAGTATGGATCCTGATGTAAACTGCGCGGATGCGCAGGCTGGTCTGGCGAAAACCCATTACGTTGGTTTTGTCATGACGCGGCTCATTTATTATGTATGTGGATTAATCCAAGAAGATTTACAACTACTTGTCACTATAGTTATGGTGAACCATTTAAAGATACTAAATTTACATGTAATGTATATTAGGCGGCACGGTAAGAATATTTTAATGATAGAATATATGGCAAAATTATATTTATCTTTATCAAGTCTTATCAGTATATACATACAAATCAACGCGCAACTGGTGAAATAATGCAAAATCATATGTGATTTTCTTTGTTATATGATATTTATATATTATATTGTTTATAAAAGCACATATAATAATCGTGTGATTTAAATTTAAATTAGGATATACCGTTTTAATACTATATTTTCTTGTTAATTTCATTTTTTTTGTGATTTGCGTTACATTTTATATAAAGTATACGATTGTTGGAGACAAAGCAGTATTTATTGTAAATTAATGTTAATGTTCATATGCATTTCGCCATTTTTAAGTTATTTTAATGTCGTGTTTATGTGTGTCATGTATAAAAAATATTCCATTTATATTGTTGTGCATTAATTTTATATTGTCAACTAGAGCGGTCGCTGTTCATGACCTTTTAACCTTTACAATTTCATTTATCAATTCCACATTTATACTGGACTTATAACTGGTAGGTATGTCTAGGATTTTGCATTTGAAAATCAATTATTTGGAAGATATGTCAGTACGTCCGTTCAGATTAAACTAAAGTTAATTTAAGTATGTAATAAATATCTAATACCCCACCTATAGTAACAAGTCACGTGACAGAAATATAGATGGTACCCTTTTCGTAGATGGCTCCCTTTTTCTGACTGCGCGTCAGATAGTAATAAATGATGGCATTTTAAGAAATATTATAATCGTCATTAAAATCGACAGGTTATTAATTAATTCACCATGTGATGGATAAAGATTTACATACTAGTGTATTCTGAACAAAAAAAACAACAGTTTTGTAAATGATGTTACAAATTTTCTATAAATACAATATTTTATGCCGACACAACGTATAGTTATTTAAAAGAAATTATTATGATAAAATTTGCATGGAAAATTAACTAAATCTTAAAACATTTACAATCTCTGGAATCATTTCGTATAATTCATTCCTTGAAAATGATAATAAAGTTGTTGCCTTGGCTGTTGAATGTGCAATACCGTGAATGAATTAGGCTTGTAAATTATGTAGGTAAATTTACCCCCAACTTTGTGTAATGGATTTGCCCTTTTTTTACTTTGGAGCAGTCCATTCAAAGATTTAGGGACTTCCATATCAAAATACACGAAAACTGACCTTGGTCATACAGCACAGATGTGCAGACTGGCCCGGTTTTAGGTCAGTCACATTCGTCCCAGCAAATTAGTGGTTAACAAACTAACGAATTAAATTTTCTCACTCAATCTTTGTGAATATAGTTAAGTTCAAAGTTATGTGAATGCACAATTTATTTACAAAAGACATAGACATTTCTTTTGTTCCCCTACTTTATTTGAATGGAATTTTAAAATTATAATGAAGTACCCATAGGAAATAATGCTTTAATGTTTTTTTGTTTCGAAAGTAACACTTACCCATCATATATTTAAATGTTCTATCACTTTTTCTCCTTTTTCGTCATTTTGCCAATTTTCATTATTTATTTTCATGCTTCGTTACTCGCTTGTTCACAATACGTCATTTTGAAATAAATGTCCTAAATATAGCAGTTGTTTCGTTGTACTTTACTTAGGGACAGAGGTGAAATGTGGGGCAGACATCGACCAGGTAGTGTACTATACAAATGGTGTATAATTAGTAAGAGAAGACATATATATTTATATATGTAGACAATGAAAGTTTAACCTGCGACAGATTTTTTCAGACATCACCGCTAGTTCATTGATAGTACTTGATGTCAAGACAAAAAATAGCTATATATATAAAGCTACCTTAGACAGCTGACCAAAAATCAGCAACACACAACTGAACTGAATGTCGGGAGTATTTGAAATTTTTTTTTAACAAACGAAGCCTGAACGCAACTGGTGAAAATTTCGAAACGAGGCAACATTTCACCAACACACTACCCGTTGTAATCGAGCTAATCACATAATATTATATAAGAAATTTCTAATGATTAAGTTGCAAGAAATAGTGACTTTTGTAAGCTACTCCAAATCCCTCCAGCGGAGAAGGCACACGGCAGGTCAAGGTCAAGTCATCTCAAGTACCAGAGATGATTGGTTGACCTGTCGTGACGAAATCTGGAGGGTGACGTTAGCAAGACTCGTTTTTGTTATCGTTGGTCGGAAAGCTGATGTATTGGCAGTATTTTTGACTCCCTAATCACAACTGAACGAAGAACGGGCTACCAGAAGATTCGGCATGAAAAAGACCTCCCCGATGCGACTACTACCAAGGACCCTCAAGGATGCTATAATCTCGAACATATGGTTATTCCGGAGCCGAGTATAAACAAAACTAAATACTATCTATGTAAGGCAGAAACCCAATACAAATAAAGGGCAAGGTAGCAATTTCTTAATCACTTTTTTTAAAAAGCATTTCATTATTTAAGGGTGAGTAACCCATACATAGTATGATTTTGGTGGAAATGTTTTTTCTTTACATCCTTTAAAGACTATGGTATATGCATGAAGTAACGGAATATTATCTAGATATAAAAGAAATTCAATTTTCTATAGAACAAGATTATTTTTATATAGTTTTGCTACTAGGCAATGTATTTTCTATTACTCATTCTTATCGTCAGTGCAGAGTACTGTAGTTAAGGGCATTAACTTCAAACCATTTGCCCCTCACCTCTGTGGGCCCGAATCCTGCCAGGAACTTTGGATTATTTTATGTGAGGAAGCCGTCCAGCTAGCCTGTGGTCGTTGGTTCTACTAAGATGGATCTACTCAGGTGCCTGTTCGTGCCTGAAATACTGCACGTGAGGTCTACCCTCGCCAGTAAAGCTGAAAGTCGCCTTATAACCTCTAGTGTAGTGGTACGACGTAAACTCCCCGTCCCCATTATCTCTTAGTAACATACAAAATAAACAAATTGTTTTGTTTTATAAGAGATATTTCTTTGTTAGTTTTTTTTCTATTGAGACAGTGTTAAGCTTTTATGCGTAAATGTTATTTGTAAGACAAACATAAACAAAGTTTTCGTTCATTAATTTATATGTATTCTATAACAATCTAGAAAAACAAGGTGCTGAACAGCAGAACAGCAATACCAGGAAATAACAGGGAAAAAAATTATAACAAGACAAAGATAAATGAGTTTTAACAATAAAGATCTACGGATTGTAATCGGAATGAAGTATATTAAAACAAATGAGCCGCGTCACGACAAAACCAAACATAATGGGTTTGCGACCAGCATGGATCCTGACCAGCCTGTGCATCCTGTTCGCTTACAAACTCTATAACAAGTAGAGAAACTGATAGCGAACAGCATGGATCCTGATCAGACTGCGCGGATGCGCAGGCTGGTCTGGATCCATGCTGGCCGCAAACCCATTATGTTGGTTTTGTCATGACACGGCTCAAATATGAAATATCTGAAATCTAATCGGAATTTTTTAGACAATATCGAATAAATCAAACGATAATTATTGCAGGATTTGTTCCACAAGATAAATGTATGCAAAGTCAAAAATAAATATCTATTGACATATTCCGTTCATCCTGCTTTTAGTCAAGTAAAATTGTTTTATAAAAAGGATATACTGATATATTTATACTTTATCAACTTCAGAAGTGAAGACGGCATAATAAATAAATTTATGTTGCTTAAAGATCAAGATAAAAATTTACAAAAAAGAACAACAAAATAAAACAAAACAACAAAAACAAATAACAACTAACAACAAGCCACCAACAAAAATATAAAAAAATACATAAAAACATAATAACAACAAACGAAACAACAAAAACCTAACCGTCCCACAAAAAAAACTACAACAAAAACAACAACAGCAACAAACAAGAGGGCCATGATGGCCCTGAAATCGCTCACCTGTATATAGGCCCCTGGGGCGGGGCCAACTTTAACCTAATGGCCCTTATTTGAACAAACTTGGTAGACACCCATTAGGGGATGTTTCATGCTAAATATCTTCGCTCTAGCTCTTGGGGTTTTTTAAAAGAAGATTTTTCAAGTTTATACTATATACATAAAGGGGAAAACAATGACCCCCCTGTGGCGGGGCCAATTTTTACCCCATGGCTTTTATTTTAACAAACTTGGTAGACACCCACTAGAAGATGTTTCATGCTTTATATCTAAGCTCTAGCAATTTTAGCTTTTAAAAGAAGATTTTTTTAAAGTTTTTACTACATACATATAAGGAAAGTCAATGACTGCTGGGCGGGGTCAATTTTAACCACAGGGCTTTTATTTGAACCAACTTGGTAGACACCCACTAGAAGATGTTTCATGCTTAATATCTAAGCTCCAGCTATATGTTTTTAAAAGAAGATTTTTTAAGTTTTTACTATATGCAAATAAGGAAAATAAATGAACCCCCCGGACAGGGCCAATTTTGACCCCAGTGCATTTATTTGGTAGACACTGACTAGATGATGTTTCATGCCGAATATTTAAGCTCTTGCTCTTTCGGTTTTCTAAAAGAAGATATTTTAAGTTTTTTCTTTCGGTTGCCATGGCAAGTAGAGTTCTGCTTGGAATAAAATTCTTTGAACAATTTTTAAAGTTGACTACCAAAACCAAAGAAACATTCCTGTGAAGTTTGGATGAAATTGGCTTACCGGTATATGAGGAGATGTCGTTTAAAGTAAAAGTTTACGGACGGACGCCGGACGAAAAGCGATCACAAAAGCTCACCATGTCACTTTGTGACTGATGAGCTAAAAACAACAAACAAAAAAAACTGTTTCATTGTTTAGAAAGATATCTACCTCATGTTATCGCCGAAAATGAAACAAATTGAATTATATGAGCTTGCAATATTTGATACAGTGATTAAAAGTAACAAAATGCTTTTTAACACAATAACTCATACTGTCCACATTGAATTTTTAAGATTCGCAGTAAATGATACAGTGGTACTTCACGTTTTTATAGAGAAAAAAAAACCCACAAGATATAAAATTTGGAATTTTATCGTTTTCATATTTATCCAGAAAATGATAAACTTTTATTGTATCCAGATATGTAGAATGCTGCCATCTTTTGTTTCTGTAGCTTTTTGGCAATAAGTACATTTATAGTTATTTAGTATTTTGAGTGGAAATCAAAATACTACTGTGCGTGTACATTTTACTACTTTTATCAATAAAACAAATCTTATACAGGCGATCAGAATCTAACATGCCTAATAAACATTAATTAAAAGTTATAGAATGTATCTTTGCTCTTTCTAAAGGAGGAAGAAAATGTGTTTGTTTCTAAGGCATAACGTGCCTTTAATTAAATTATGATAAGTTATATGTGCTCCCTTACTGGTTTGACAAACTGCAATACTAACCATATTATAAGTGGAATTTTTCCAGATATAGTTATATACAAGTTATAAAATCGGATTTACTTATATGCCTGCAATTTTATCATCTTTGTTTATTTTATATTTGGAAAAAAAGAGTCAAAAATGTATCTGTAGTTACATAATTTAATGCTGCCTTGTCTAAGGTGACAAACTTTTATAGAACATGTAGGGAGCTAAGAAGAACAGGGAATGTGTAAGGAAAGACTACAGAGTCCATTTAGTGCCATCTCAAATGTAATATCTCACTTTTGAATGTCTCCGAAGTTTTAAAGCGACAAAAGATATGAGATATGTGACATTACATACGACACAATATAGTAAATATGAGAGAAACGACATTTTCAATGGTGCATATCGTATTCCGTAATATATACTTGTATCAGTCGAACAGGGTAAACGGAAGCAACGAAAATGATGGATCAGGTGTTCTCCATGTAAAATAAATTACAACATTTAAACACGTGTTGCATTTTACTGGTGGCAGCCGAGAGATTCTCACATTATCTTATGAGATAAAGTTATCTTATAATGTGCAATGTTCGGGGATCCTGTGAACAAAGGAAGTCGGTGAAACATGAAATTACATTGCCATCGCACCATATGGGTTTAAAGCAGGAATAAAGCAGGACTAAAATAATAAGAAAAAAAAATGGAAATGAAAATAAACTACAAAACAACTAACAAACAGCAGTCCATAATGTGCAAAACGTGGAAACATACTGCATTGTAATGTAAAATGTTTGGGTACTGGCACACACCACGCGGAAACAATCAGTCAAATATGTAAATTTTGACTAACAACTACTATAAATCATGATAAATCTGTTAATAACGGCTAATATCGTATAAAATCATAACCCAAAATTTAAAGGTCCTCTCGTCATCTTTCGACATGTTACATAATACCTTATTCTAATATATTTATATAGTGTCACGTGAGATTTTCCTTTATGACGTCATTATTTTTCCAACATAGTCACTTTAAAGGAACAAATGATAATAAATGCAATATATATGTTTAACTTATTTTATTTATGGTTGGCATAAAATTTCCGTCATGACTGGTCATTAAGTAACAAAGTTAATAGAGTTTGAAACTTTTATATAAAATAGAATATTATAAAATAGGTTTTGCTTCGTCATCGATTGCAAAAACCTGTAATTTTATGTTAGATTTTCGCCTTATCCATGGCTGAATAAGAGCA